GTTCTAACGGAATATTTAAATTTATTATCTTTATAAAAAAATATATTATTAAACTAAAAATGATTTGCTTTGTTATTAAACTTAAATTAAACTATAATAAAAAAAAATTAAACAACATACATACATTTAGGTTTTTATTATTAAGTTGAATAAATTCGAACTGACGTAAAAGAATCAAGGTTTTAAATGTCGTAATGTGTGGTGTGGCGTCACTCGTATGGGGTTAAGTCTCAAGCCCTACAATTACTGCATGACTATGACGTTTTTCAAGACGTGATTTCTGGAGGCAAATATGTAGGTATAGTGTAACACCCGCAAAATTAAGGTAAGCAAAAGTTACAAAGTTTTCATTTTATACTTATTTTATCCTTAGAATGCTAAGAACTAATGTGGGGATGTTTGGATATGAGTTTAGGAGCGGAAGACGCCATTTGGTTACAAACAGGACTCCTCGGGCGTGAAAAATCCCTTCATGGGCGTGAAACAAACAACAGAAAATCAGGTCTGGGCACTTGAGTCATTCCCGGGGCGTGAAAAATCAGCCCCGGGCGTGAAACACTGGCAGAATTCGAGCTGTACGATTTTGGTTGTATAAAACCGATATTTGGCCCTTGTCTTCCTCATTTTATTCTATTTACTTTCTCCCACTCTCTTTCACTTTATTGACCTAGTTTTTGGGTTTTTTTTTTTTTCTAAAAACTATTTGTAAGTCATCCTAACCTTTATAAACCATTAATCTTGTTAAAACATTTCATTTTAACCTCTTAGAACATCCCTTTTGGTATATCTCTATTATATTGAGGTTTTGATCATTTTGGGTGTTTTGGGTGATTTGATATTTTGGCTAAGGATTGTATGGATCTGATTTTAGGGTTACTTTTGGTACATCTCTAGGTTTGGTTGAGACTCAGATAAAGTTCCTAGAGCTGGGTGTTGACGGATCTAAAGCCCTCACTTTTTGGAAGCTAGAGATGGATTTGAAACCTAGCAATTTGAGTTCAAGTTGCTTTGTGAAAACTATGTCAATGCCAAAATGTTTGTTTTGAAGTATTAATGTGTATTACTTGAGATTTATCAAGTGTGTTGAGTATTCAATGAAGTTTGCATATCTAGTAAATTTGAGTTAATAAATCTTGTAAAATGCCCATACTTGAGTTTTTAGACATTTTGATATATAAATCATAAATGTGGATTCTTTTGATGATTTATCCTATAAATGAAGATTATTTGGTGATAATGCATTTGTAATGTATTTGGTTTGGAAAATGCATAGTGATATGTTATGGGACATTTTGAAAATATAAATGATATGATTTCAGTTGGAAAATGATTTGTCCCAACCAATGATAGGTTTTTGAGTTAATCATGCATTTAGAGCATGTGTTTGCATAAACATTGGTTAAATACGTTTTTATTGGTGGCTTTTATTTAATAGTCAATTGAGTTATTGAGCTTTTGACGCAGTTTGACTCAAATAAGTCTTGGGGGCATTTGTCCAGTTTATTCACTCTATTTCGAGCTTTGAAGTTATATGCAGTCATAACATATTTATTTGAAATATTACATGCTTTGAGTGTATGCTCATTCATTTGGGATCATGTAATTTAGACTGTAATGCGATTGTTATTGGGTTTTAATTACATCTGACCTTGATCTAGTCCTTATACAAAGCTTAGTTTACTCATTGTTGATTAAATCTAATTTTGCTATTCGAAATAATTAAAATATTATTTATAGAAAGAGATTTATCCCTTGTTTAATATTTTATAGAAAATTTTAATTTAGTCGCTCTTTCCAAAATTGGGAATATTTTATACATATATACGTGTATACACACATGCACACATACATACAAGGGGACCTTCTTTTGAGATCCCATAAAATTATGATAACATTGAGAACTAGTGCATCATGTACTATTTTATATCATTTTGTTTTTCATTATAGTTAGGATATAAATGTAGTAATTAACATATATTTGTTTTACATGTACTCGGTTCACAATACGAACCTTTTTGACGTGTTTGTAAAACAAAAGGTACAAGTAGATGAGTTCCACATTGTGAACTAAATACATATGAAACAAATAAATTGTGAAACAAATATATATTAAACAATATATTTACACTATATATAGATGAGAAAAAAATCATGTGAAATATCACCTTAATGTAAAAGTTCTCACGAATCTCATAAATTTTAGAGTTATCAAATGATTAAGCCCCAATACATACATATATATATATATAGGGGTCTAATCAAATGAGAACTAATTAGTTTGTGGTAACTGTGAGAACCAATATTAACCATAAATCAATAGATAAATTAGGAAATTTATAATTTTGGCAATTTTGAATTAAAATTTTAATGCAAGAATATTTTTGGTATTTTACAACTTTCCTCCCTCCTCTCTTCTCTCTCCGGCCACCGTCCTCCGGTGATACTACAATGGTATCACAATGCATCATATATGTGTTTGGGTATCACATTGATGTYGTTTGTGTGRTCGATCGAAGATGTAACACAGTRGTATCACTATGCATCTTATATATGATTAGGTATCACAATGTATCTTTTGTTTAACATAGTCAATATTTTTAGGTATCACAGTGGTATCATAGTGGTATCACCGAAGGACGGTGGCCGGAGGCCGGAGAACGGTGGCCGGAGAGAAAAGAGAGGAGAGAGGAGAGTTTTAAAATACCAAAAATATCTTTGCATTAAGATTTTAATTTAAAATTACCAAATTTATAAATTTCCTAATTTATCTATTGATTTTAATTTAAAATTACCAAATTTATAAATTTCCTAATTTATCTATTGATTTGTGATTAATATTGGTTCTCACAGTTAGCACAAACAACTCAGTTCTCTCTTGAATAGACCCCTATATATATATATACACACACACACACATATATATATATATATACATATATATATATATGTATATGTTTTCTACTATTATTCAATCTATGATATTTAATTATTTAAATTAATTATATATGAAAAAAGAAAAATACAAAACACTAGATAGGTAAAAAAACAATCAAACAATATCTTGCCGCTGTATCATGTCGATATCTCGCCTTAAGCAACCGTTATGGAAGTTAAGATGATTTGAGGAACGCGTTTTGCCATCAAGTTTTTTAGAACACCGATAAGACGAAAGATCGTGTGAGCATGAGAGTTAAGATGAGAACTGAGAAACGTAAAAAGAGATCTGGACCTTGATTACTTTTAATCTCAAACTCACCCATGAATCTGTTTGATACGAGAATTGATCCAGTACATCTCATCCTCAAGTGCATCCAAAATGAAAAACTTTTCTTACGTTTCTCAGCTTAACTCTACTTCTCATCGAAACCCAACCTACACCAATAAATTGTCAAAAAGAAAATTAAATAAAAAAGTTGTTAAAAAAGTAATATTGGAATTAAAAAAAAGTTAATTTAATTCTTTTTTCCGTTTACAAAATAACAAGATTTCTGGGTCTCCGTGAATTAAATAAAAACTAATATTATAATTTAATAAAAATTAATTTAAATCTTTGACTGTCTTCTCTCTCTAGAAGCAAAACAAAACCCTAAATAGAAGAATGGGAAAGCAAAAGAAAAACCCACCTCCTTTAATGAACCAAACAAGTATTCTGTGTTCTTCAATCTCTTTTTAACTTTATGATCTTCATTTTCCTCCAACAATCTCTTCATCAATTTGAATTTTCTGGTACGTCTTTCAGTGTTCAGTCAAAAAGCTACTGATCCAAGGGAACCCATTTCAAGAAATCTTGATTTTCCAAATGGGGTTTCTCCAATGAACCCTAAAACCTCCCCAAATTTCACGTCGTTTTCTGCCATTTGTTTGATTTGAATTTCATATTCACTGGGATGGTTGTTGTATGGGAGATATGGGCTATTGTGATTCTTGGGTTTTCTCAGGTTCTTGCGAATTCGCAAAACCTGACCTGCAATTCCAGTGATTTAAGAGCATTAAGAGGTTTCATGGATGGATTGGAATCCCCCATTGATGGATGGTGGCCTACGAATTCATCATCACTGTCCTCTTCTTTCGATTGCTGTAATTGGGTCGGAATTAAGTGCAATTCCAATTCTGGTAGGATTGTTGGATTAGAACTCCCAAAGAAAAGATTAACTGGTAGTTTATCTGATCTTATTTCCAATTTAGATCACCTTAAAACACTCAATCTTTCTAACAATTTTCTCACTGGCCCTCTTCCCATTTCTTTATTTCATTTGACCCATTTGGAAGTTCTTGATTTAAGTCGTAATGGATTCAATGGTGTTTTCCCAGTTAGCATACGCCTTCCTGCACTTGAGGAATTGGATTTTTCTGATAATTTCTTCAGCGGTTCCATTCCTGGTATTTGCGTTAATTCCACCGGAATTCGTGTACTTAAATTTGCTGTGAATTCCTTGACCGGAATCATCCCACCGGAACTCCGGAATTGTTCATTCTTGAACCATCTGTGTATAGCTTCCAATTCTCTTTCAGGTGCCATTCCGGAGTTCTTATTCCAGTTACCAAGATTGGGGGTATTGGATCTTCAAGATAACATGTTCACTGCCATCAGCGAAATCGGTAATTCCTCCGGTGGTCTTATTAGTCTTGATGTTTCCTGTAATCGTTTATCGGGAAATTTACCTGATTTCTTTCGTAAATTTCCAAACTTGAGTCGTTTCTCAGCTCGATCGAATGGTTTTTCTGGTGGGATTCCGGCATCATTGTTGAATTCACCCGCCATTTCGTTTCTTAATTTGAGAAACAATTCTTTGGATGGTTCGATTGAATTCAATTGGTCGATGATGACTAACCTTACCTCACTTGATCTCGGTTCCAATAACTTTTCGGGTTTCATTCCGGATGATCTTTCTTCTTGCCGGAAGCTAAAAGCTATAAATCTTGCCAGAAACAAATTTTCCGGCCAAATCCCAGAAAGTTTCAAGAATTTCCGATCGTTATCATATCTTTCTCTCTCGAATTGCAGCTTCAGTAACCTCTCGACCACTCTCAAAATCCTTCAGCACTGTCCCAATCTAACGGTGTTAGTTCTAACGATGAACTTTCATAGCGAAAAACTGCCGGATGATAGTTTTCAATTCAATGCACTCAAAGCTCTTGTGATCGCCAATTGTGGACTTGTGGGAAGCATTCCGCCATGGCTAAAAGGTTTAACACAATTGCAGTTGCTGGATTTATCGTGGAATCAGTTAGACGGATCGATTCCGCCTTATTTGGGTGATTTCCGGTCTCTGTTTTACTTGGATTTATCCAACAACTCTTTATCGGGAGAGATACCGAAGAATCTTACGCAATTACAGAGCCTCAGTTTGTGGGATATCTCGTTAGAAGAGGGTTCGCCGGATTTCCCCTTTTTCCGGCGACCAAACATGAGTAACAGAGGGTCGGCGTTGCAGTACAATCAAATAATGAGCTTTCCGCCATTACTGGATCTCAGTAACAACTTCCTCAATGGCTCAATCTGGCCGGAATTCGGGAATTTGAAAAGATTACATGTTTTGGATCTGAAACACAACGATTTATCTGGTGAAATTCCGAGTTCTTTATCGGGTATGGCGAGTATAGAGACTCTTGATCTGTCGTATAACAATCTGACCGGAATGATCCCGCCTTCTTTGGTGAATTTGAGTTTTTTGTCGAAATTCAGTGTTGCGTACAACAATCTGAGCGGGTTAATCCCGAATAGAGGTCAATTCGCAACGTTTGCAAACTTGAGCTTTGAAGGAAACGAACTATTATGTGGCAGTGGACGTGGATCGGCTTGTGGGAATCGAGTCTTTCCGCAATTGCCAACCAGGGAATCGAAGAAAAGTAAAGGGAAAATCGCGGGTATGGCTGTCGGGATCGGATTCGGGACGTTATTTCTTCTTGCTCTCATGTTCTTGATCATAATTCGCGCAACCGGCAGACAAGAGGTCGATCCAGAGAACGAAGATGGCGATGATGGGAAAAAGGAAGAACTCGAAACAAGATTAATCGTTTTTTTCCGAACCAAAGGTAATGGAAACGATGAAAAAGAGTTTTCGCTCGATGATCTTTTGAAATCGACCAATAGTTTCGATCAGGCCAACATCATTGGGTGTGGCGGGTTCGGGCTCGTCTTCAAAGCCACACTCCCCGATGGCCGGAAAGTAGCCATCAAACGGTTATCTGGAGACACCGGTCAGGCCGATCGAGAGTTCCAAGCCGAAGTCGAAACACTGTCGAGAGCTCAGCATCCGAATCTCGTCCTCCTTCAAGGGTATTGCCAACACAATAACGACCGGTTATTAATCTATTCGTTTATGGAAAATGGTAGTCTCGACTATTGGCTACACGAAAAACCCGACGGACCTACCAAACTCAACTGGTCCACGAGGCTAAATATCGCGAAGGGAGCCATCAACGGGCTCGCTTACTTGCACCAATCATGCGATCCCCATATCCTTCATCGCGATATAAAGTCAAGCAACATCCTTCTAGATGAGAATTTTGAAGCCCATTTGGCTGATTTCGGGCTTGCGAGACTCATTTTACCGTATGACACTCATGTAACAACGGATTTAGTCGGAACCTTGGGCTACATTCCACCCGAATACGGTCAAGCCTCGGTTGCATCGTACAAAGGAGATGTTTATAGTTTTGGGGTTGTTCTTTTGGAGCTTTTGACCGGAAAAAGGCCGATGGATATGTGCAAACCGAAAGGTAGCCGAGACTTGATCTCGTGGGTGATGCAAATGAAGAAGGAAAAACGGGAGATCGAGGTTTTTGATCCGATCGTTTTCGATAAAGAAAACGGGAAGCAGATGTTGTGGGTTCTCGAGGTCGCTTGCGTTTGTTTGAACGAGTCTCCAAAGTTACGACCTTCGACTCGAGAACTGCTTTCGTGGCTTCATCACGGTGGGCTCAATGCGTGACCTTTTTCGTTCGTCGGTTTGTTTCGTTTTCCGTATTTTCGTTTTCGGTGTATATACACATAAGAAGAGGAGAAGAAAAAAAACAGGTTTCAGAAATCGTTGTAAGAGTGATACATGTTTTCAAAGATTGTTTCTATTCGTTTCATCAAATGTGTTAAGTTGATTCACAAGTGAATGTAAATGATGTTAATCAAGTTGAGTTTCTTCATATGTGAATTTATACATCAAACTCGTGAATGTAAATGGTCCGGGGTTGTATTTGAGCGCCCCTCTCTCTATGTATGTATGTAAAGGTAGGGTTGGGTTCGTGAGAAAGGGACTGTTTGGCAGTTGCTGAATGGTTTAGTGCAGAATGATTAAGTGGTCAGGATGATTAAGAGACTCTGTATGATTTAGTGTCAGATAGAAAAAGGTTGTTTGGAAACTGTTCTGAATGAACAGTCTGAATGACATAAAATTACCATTTTACCCCTAGTCTTGTGTGATCGTTTTTTACTTGAGCTTAATTATTCTAGATCACACCTTCACCATTGTTCTTGCTCTCTCGATAACCATGACATCCAAATAGCTGTTTCAATTGCATGGTGACATCTTAACAGTCTTCACCATTGTTATTATGCATTAACAGATGCAATTGGCATGTAAATAAAGAGTTTCGTTAATATTTACAAATAAATTGTTCCTATAGTGAATTTATGTCGCTTTTCTTGTTTAAATACACAACTTAACCAAAATCTATGATGAACTGCAGCATAATTTCACTGATGGTATGGCTTTAAGAAGTGCTTTCCTCCTATATGGGTCTGTTGGTGGGTTGTCAAGAAC